GGAAATTAAAAAGAATTTAGGGAAGAGGAAACATAAAACTGCCTAGTGAGACTTCTCAGTGAACAAAGGAGCTTGGCTCAAAAGCCTGACAACTTGAGCTACATCACAGGAAGCCATGTTTAGGTGGAAGTGGTCCTCTGACCTCCATATGGAAGCTGTGGCACAGGAGTGTTTCAACACACACACCATATACACATAATTAATAATAATAATAACAATAATAATAATAAACTGACACCATTTATAGAAATACTATGGATATTACTATGAACAAATTGAGTAACCTAGGAGAAATGGATGACTTTTTAAAAACATCAACTCTCCAAGACTAAATAAGGAAAAGTAGAGAATCTGAACAGAATAATACCAAGTAGGACACTTAGTAATTAAAAAGTCTGCCATCAAAGTTCCATGGCTAAGTTCTACCAAGTATTAAAAAAAATAGAATAACAACTTTCCAACTCTTTTATTTGTCTTGAGACAGAGAATTGTTACAAAACCCAGATAGCCTGAAATGCACACACCTCCATCCTTAGCTTTTGACTGCCATCCAGGTTTATGCTACCACAGCTGGCATTTCTTCTACATATTTTATGAGGCTAGCAATACCCTAAGAGTAAAACCGCTAAAGTCATACAAGAAAATTACACAGTAGTACTCATGTTCAACAGAGATATAAAAACTTCTATAAAATACTAGCAAATTAAATTCAACAGTGCATTTAAAAAACATGATCAAATGAGATTTGTCCTAAGGATGTGAAGGTGGACTACCACACAACAGTCAGTAAACATGATCCATCACAGTAACAGAAGGAAAAGCAACATCAATTAAAAACCCCACACGACTATCTCAATTGATACAGGCAAAGCATTTGACAAGATCCAACATCTGTTCATGGCAAGATTTTCAAAAAGCATAAGAAGGAATATATAACAATATAATACAGGCTATATCTGACAAGTCCACAAATGACATCACACCGAATAGTGGAAGGGTGACAACTTTTCTCTAAGATAAAAAAATAAGAAAATAGGCTAAGGCAGGAGAATTACAAATTTGAGGCCAGTCTGGGTTACTACTGGTAGACATTCTCCCCCTACTAACAAAAGAGGTATTCAAACAGGAAAGGAATATGTGAGATATCTGTTTGCTGACGGCATGGTCTTATAATTAGGAAACCCTAAGTGGCCACTAAGGTTTTAAAACTAATTGATACATCTATTAAAGTTATAGGTTGTTGGTTATAAAATAAAAATACAAACAAACAAAAGAGCAAGCAAACCACTAGTATTTAAATATGCCAAAAACTATTCCAAAATGAAATTAAGAAGCCAATACTATCTATAATAGCACCAAATAAAATACTTGAGAGTAAAATTAACCTAGTAGGTGAAAGATCTAGCTGCTAAAAAGCATAAAATACTGAAGAACGATACTAAAACCCAAAAAGTGCAAATCTTAATAATATTGTTAAAAAATTCTTTACTCAAAGTGACCAGCAGATTCCATGCAATTCCCACCAAAATTCCAAAGTCATTTTCCAAAGAGGTAGAAAATAGTCTACAATTTATATAGAACCAGAAAAGATCTAAAGTCCAAAGCAATCTTGAGCAAAATCCCCCAACCTGGAGTTCTCATACTCCTTGATTTCAAAGTATATTTCACAGTTGTTGCAATCAGAATAATGTGGTTTTGGCATAAAAACAGACACAATGACCAGTGAAATGGAAAACTCCAAAATAAACCAAAGTATCTATAACCCAATTTTCCAAGAACATCCAATAGAGAAAGGACAGTTTGTCTAATAAATATAATGTTAGGAAAATTGGATATCTACACACAGAAAAATGAAAAGAGACACTTGTTAAAAACAAAAGAAACCTAACTCAAAATGTTCATAAAAGAACTCAGTGTAGACAGGAAACTACACGTTGCTGAGATGATACTGGGAAAAAGCTCCGTGACGCTGATTTCAGAACGATGTCTTAGGACAAGGCTCTAAAACCACAGGCAATAAAAACAGCAAGTAGGATTCTTCAAACTAAAACGCTCCTGCAAAGCAAACAACACACTGCAGAGGCAGCCCAGTGACTGAGAAAACACACACAGGCCATGTACCTGATAAGGGATTAATTTCTAAACTATATATGGAAAAGAATACAAAAAGTGCTCAGCATCTCTGAGCACCAGGAAAACACAAATGAAAACCATAATGAGATGTCACCTCACACCCTTCACAATGTCTCTTAACAAAAGACAGAAGGAACAAGTGTCAGTCAAGCTGTGGTACAAAGGAATCCTTGTACAATGGGGGGTGGGGGGCATCAACAATGGCTGACCTTAACAAATAAAGCTCTCTCAGAATTCAAAAACAGATAATCCAACAATCTCATCATAGGGCACATATACAAAATAACAAATCAGTAAACAAATCTCTCTATTCTCATGTTCATTTCAGGAGCCAAGATGCTTTCACATCAGTAGCCAAGATATGGAAGCACCTTAGATACCTATCAGCAGACAAATAAAGAAAATCTCTCTCTCTCTCACTCTCTGTCTCTCACACACACCCCCATATGTATGTATATATACATACATACATACATATACATATACATGTCTCCTTAAAAAGGAAATTGTCATTTTTGACAAGATAGAAAAAAACCAAGGGCATATTGCTAATAAAGGCAAATATTATATACTTTCAATCTTAAATTAAATCCAGAATGTCAGTTTTATGGAAACAAAAGGTAAAAAGGTGGCTACTAAAAGTCAAAGGGGGAGAGGGAAAGGGGGAAGGATGGGGAAGGGGGAGCTGTTGATCAAAGTTTCAGGCTGCCGGACTAAGTTTTAATGATCTGTGCACCTCAGGGTAACCCAGTTAATAACAATGTGTACTTCAAAATTGCTAGAACAGGTTTTTAACATTTGCATCACACACACACACACACACACACACACACACACACACACACACACACGTAAGGTAATGGGTGCTAGTTTGACTCTTTCTACAATTAATATATTGTATAAATAGTTCAGAGTATCACTCTGCACCCCAAGCATACAGAATTGTTAGTTATTAATAAATAGACCTTTAAGGGACCTAAGAAGATGGATCTAATGTTATATTAAGCTAAAAAAATAGTTTAAACTGTACAAATTTCTGACTATAAAAAATAAAATAAAAAACAACCAAACAAATAGTGGTGGTGTACTTCTTTAATCCCAGCACTTGGGAGGCAGAGGCAGCTAAATCTCTGAGTTTGAGGCAGGCTGGTCTACAGAGTGAGTTCCAGGACAGCCAGGAATACACAGGCAAACTGTCTTGAAAAACTTCAAAAAAAAAAAAAATGACTAAGGCTGGGATGTAATCAGTTGGTAGAGTGTTTGCTTGGCATGCATGAAGCCCTGGATTTGATCCCCAGTAAGACAGAAACTGGACGGGATGGCACAGGCTTGTAATTCTAGTACTTGGGATAGAAGCAGAAGAACCAGAAATTCAAGGTCATCCTCAGTTACATAGTGAACTTGAGGCCAGCCTGGGCCACATGAGACTCCATCTCAAAAAATAAAAACAAAAAATGTGACTATACAAATTTCTGGGAGGAAAATGCCATTATTTAAATGATGGCTATCACTGGTAAAGGGATTGTGGGTAGTATTTCTCCTTTGTTTTCATATTTATGAACTTCTGTATTTTTTAATGGACATGAACTATTTTGCCAATCAAGGGAAAAAGAAGTGTGTGATGCATTCAAGAACAAGTCAAAGAACAGATAACATTAATATCCTTCTTTAACCAAGTTACAAACTGAATCTAGTGCTTCAAAATGAATGAGTATGGTGAACTATTACTGCTTGTTTCTCTGGTATATATACACATTAAATTGAACAATGAATGCTTTAATGTATGTGCTCAATGGTCACTTAATGTGTATCTCTTATATTAACGTAGTCTTGTTTGGCTGATGGGTTTCCTGGCTGTGTGTACTCAATGACTTGCAGAAATAGCTGTGTTTTAGGCCTTAACTCTAAATGTTTCTTTTTCTCAGCCCCAACTAATGGAAAAAAGAGATCAAGCAGTGTATTAAATAGAAAAACAATTTAAACAATTAATTGCTAACAAAATGCTTTCAAATGGTTTAAGTAAACAATTCAGTATTTGCTGGGCCTATAGCACAGCTAGGAATTTGCATCAAAAGTGTATATAATGTGCTGGAGGAGAGAGAAATGCACAAGTATTCAACCACACACCAACAATATGCAGAGGAGGGATACAGCCCAAAGGCTTAGGGATGATTTCTGGAGGAGATGGCATCTAAGCAAAGCTAAGAGTACATTTTTCTCTCTTCCTCTACTTTCATCCAAACTTAAATATTTTATTTACTTTACTGACCCAGATCTCCTGAGAAGAAATTTCCAATTTGGCTCCAGGCTTTGTCGAAGTGCTCCTTAATACTCTGCTAATCCTACAGTAGTACTACTCACACCATATTCTAACGGTCTGTTCCATCCCTAGAATGGGAATTCCTGAACAACACAGTGTACCAGGACTGGATGGTGACCACCTGTAACTAAGAAACTTCCGAGTAAAACTGACCTCACTAGCTCCTTGATCTGGAACGTCCAAGTCTTCAGATCTGTGCGACACAGACTTCTGCCACTTAAGCCCCAGTCTAGGAAGTTTTGTTTACGGCAACTCTAGTACGTTAAAACAAACTTTGGTACTAAGAAGTGTGGGAATGTGTCTAATGATGACTGCTGGTGGTGCTGCACAAGTCAGTAGTGCAGTGTTTATTTTAGATTTCTGATTACACTACATCAGATACGGCTGATAAGGTATGACTTGATTAGGGTAATATTTGCTCGTGTAGTCTTTGAATTTTGGAATCCATCAGTTAGCAACAACAAGAATCCCAAGTTCCCAGGATTAAGGATTCTCTTCAACAATAAGAGGTAATTCCACTACAGAACCACTAGTTGGTCTAACTTACTTTGTCTTTGCCTCCTTTAACAAAGAAGGGTCATCAGTGGCCAGATAGACTCTTTTTTTATCCACTTGCATTCTGCGCGAGAGAAGCTGAAAGTGTTCTTCAACGTGCACCATGTACTCCTCAATAGGATGGAAGGCTGCTTCTGTTCCCACTTTGTCAGTGCGTCTGACATGGACTCTGGAGAGAAGTGGAGAGCGCACTGGTAATGTACTGGTACTCAATCAGTACCCCAGTCATGGCGGCACTGGGGGCATAGTCAACCAATTTTTCATTTATTCTCACCTTAGAAAATATAAAACCATTTCAAAACACTTCACAAATACTTTAATATAGTTGCATGTTCAATAGTACAGGGCAATACGAAAGTTAAGTAAAGGTTTTTTGAAATATTTTCTTACAGAAAAAGTAATTTGTATATCCAAAAATCTATGGGAACCTGTCATCAACAGATTTAAGTTTTAAGGTTTTTGAGACCAAAATCATAACAGGATTCACAGCTTAAAGATACTGCTTGTAACAATCTGATGCCAAGGTTTATTTATTAATTTTTTTCTTTCATTTTACCCTGAGAGTTACTACCACTTCAGTTCATAGAATTTAAAGTCATCTAAGAAAGCAGAGACCCAGATGAACTTTGCCTACAGTTTTATACAGGCAAGCCTTTAAAAAATGTTGGCTATTTTATGTTCATCAAGCCATTACAGACATTTTGTTGTATTTTTTCTCTATCAAATGTAAACAGAAATAGATTTCATTGTTTTTATATTGAAGAAAAGGCACAACGTTAAGGAGTGAGGGATGCAGACTTACACTGTCCTAAAATGGGTAAGTCACTGACTCCCTAGTATTCTCCTGCCTCCTAGTGCTGCCACAGGCAGGGCTGGGTCTTGAATCTGGAGAGAGGGCTGCAGTACACTGGGGGAACTGGGCCATCTTCACGCTCCTGTTTCCTTTGCATGCCAGACTATATAGTCCAGATGTGAATTTGACCACAGGAATATCTATTCAGTCATCTTTTCTTTCCTCCATTCTTCTTAATCACTGTTTCTTTCAGGAAATTGGACTTGTTTCATGTGCTCTATACAAATGAAGTGGGGCAGGGAGAATTCGCCACACTGAATTTCAATGAAGTTTCAGGAGATGAACACTATTTAATATTCTGATTTCACTATGTACTTTCTTTAGCTCTAGCATTTAGAATAGGGGTCAGTAACTACTCTACATATAAAGACTAAGAGATGGAAGAAAGATGTGGAGTTGGAAATATGAAAATAAAACAGAGGAGCTTCATAAAAAGTGAGGGGAAGAAACAAAAGAAGGGCATCTGATCCAGCAGAAGGGCATCTGATCCAGCAGAGGGGCATCTGAGCCAGCAGAGGGACATCTGAGCCAGCAGAGGGGCATCTGGGCCAGCAGAGGGACATCTGAGCCAGCAGAGGGGCATCTGGGCCAGCAGAGGGGCATCTAGGCCAGCAGAAGGGCATCTGAGCCAGCAGAGGGGCACACTGCACCATTTGCTCTGCTGCCCCAAGTGAACAAAGTCTCTTAAGTTTTAGAACCTTTGTTCTTTGCTGGGATTAGGACTATTAAATTATATAAAATTTACAGTAAAAGGTAAAAACAACTACTGCTATATATTACTGTTGCCAGAGATTCTTACCCAATAACTGGATGTTTGAAGCCAAGCTTCTTGGTGGCTTCTTCTATTTCCTTTTCGAGCCAAGGTTGTGGACGGATCAAGTATTTGACAAACTGGGACACCCACCACACTGCAGGATCACCATGGACTCTTAGGAGTCGATCTGCAAGGTCTTCTGGTACAGCCAGGGGTAAGTAAGGAGGACGAGGATGAAGGCTGTCTACAATGGGGAGCTCGACCACTTGAACATTTTTGTCCTTCACTTCACCTAACGGAACATCAAAACACATGGTCACTACACTACACTCCTCATCCACCTACCATGCAACAGAACCCACTCGGAGTACTTGTATCTTCCTAGCAACTCTAAGGAAGCATTACAGTTTTCACTTTATACAGGAAGTCAAAAAATCTGCCTAATGTACCAGAACAAAAAGAGAGAGAGCTGAACATTCCTCTCAAGTCCATGGCCTTTCTAAAAGTTCCCATTGTGCTGTCATATTATCACTTTATACTCAAGTTAGGATGGTAACCAGCATCCAAAGTATGTAACAGCCATATGGTTGACAGACACCATCAGCTACCAAGTTCATGTTTTTTGTTTGTTTGTTTTGTTATTACTGCTTTGGAATTATACAATAAGTACCTCCAACTTCTAGCTTGTCATTATAGCAAATGGCCCTTGCATTTCTTTTCTCATAGACACTAGAAATAACAAAGGATTACAATTATAAATCAAGCCATCTGTATCTTTTGTAGAAAAACAATAGACAACTAAAAATATTTTTCTTGGCTAAGTTAGACTTACTATATATCCAATTATGATAATAATAGAAACTTGCTCCTTATTTATCTCAATAGTAAAGTTCAGAGATTAGAAAATCATTTTACAGATGATTGCTTTCAGAATTCATCTTGAATTCACCATTGTTATTTCTGTCCTACTAAATTTATAATGTAATGATAAAAAATAAACCACAATTGACAGACAGTATCCTCAGAGTTTACACATTAAAGATCACCCAGTAAAAACTAGAAGACCAAAATACTATACAGAAAAAAATTTATATTGAGTTACAATTTTAATAATAGAAAATAGTAGCATAAATATACAAAATAATTCCAGTTAAAATGTGGTCATAATCACGGGACAATTAAGGAAACAATATACTTGTAAAGAATAAGCATACAATATGTTGAAAATGTATTCAGCAATATGAAACAGTCTGTTTCTATATATATGCATGTGTGTATATACATCATATCATATTATATTATATATTTAACATATATAAATTAAAATATTTTAAAATAAATTATCTAGAACACAGCTAATAAAGCTAACTGCATACATATTTTAAAATCAGCTTAGTACAGCTAAGATTTAAAATCTTGGTAATATTCTACTTCTTTGGTATGTAAAGTCATTTCAAGATTTTGAGGACAAAGTCTTTAAAATATGACTTTTGAAGTATGAATGAATGAATAGTAATAAAAAATTTAACATCAGCAATGCAGTTCATCTAGTATGCCAGCTAAGAAAGAAGTGGGCACCTTTTTCAGAAGAGAAACTACAATTAAGAGTATGAGGGGAAAGAATAAGATGCATTTTAAATTAACCTTTACCAGTCTTCCCTAAGACAAGGAAGTCATTGGTGCTTTTCCAGATATAGGAATGACCAGAGGTAAGACACAAACAAAAGAGAAAATACAGAATGAAAGAGGAAGGGAAAAGGTGGTTACTTTTAATGAAAAGAAAAAAAAAAACACAGAGAAAGGAAGGAAGTCCCAGTACTGGGCATTGCATGCTTATCATCTCAGCACTTAGGAGGCTGGGACAGGAGATCCTGAGTTCAAAGCCAGCTATACAATAAAAATATCTTTAAATAGCATTGTCATTGGGCTTAGTGAAAAAAGGGAAGAAAAAAGAAAAGAAAAGAAAGAAGTAGCACCCAGTTTCATCCATACCCATAAACATATATATACCTACATAAGATCAGAATTAGTAGGGCTGTCCTTTGTTACTTCTTCCTAACAAGGTTATTCAAAATGTTCAGCCTAAGCAGCTTAAATTTCATAGTGAGAACACATTATCCCCTGAAGGCACCACCTCCTCGATTTCTTTATCACTAGCCCTACTGACAACTTCTAGAATGGAATGAAACTGTATCTACACCTTCCAGCTAGAGCACTATACTCTGTTGATTCTTTGTTCTTACCTTCATTAATTCATTAACTTGTTCAAATATTGTGGAACTATATTCAAATATTTGAGGAACATTATAAGTCAAACACTGTATAGTTAGAATATAAAATGATGACATGCTTCACCAAGCAAAAACTACAAGATTTCCAGTTCTAAATCTCACTGAAATTGGACTGTTTACAGTGTAAGAAAAATAAATAAAACATCACCACTAGCAAATGTGCTTTCACAAAGACTCTAGCAAAATATCAAAAAATTTACCACAAGTAATTTACAACTAGTAAAAATTAAAACTTAAGTTTCCTCAGTAATTACACGCATGCATGCATGCACACATAGATATGTGCACGCGTACACACACATTTTAAAATACTAAGTGATTGAATTTTATAGATGTTAGCCATAATGATGAATCTACTGAAATTCAAGCCATGCTACTAAATTTGATGTGGGTACTGTTGCTTACTGGAAGTTCTGAGCCCAGCCAGGTTTCTGTTAGAGAGAGATTATTAGAAAGGGTTTATTTATTTATGAATTATGTTTTAAAGGGTAAGAAGTGATTTCCCTTTGCATCTCTCTGCATTATAAGTAATCTAGCTAAGTGTAGGTTGTATGTAAATGTTATATAGTTGAATACAAGGGGCTCAATCATCTATGGATGTGAGGGTTTGGTATCTCCTGCAGCCTATGAATACCAAGGGGACTGTACATTATCAACAACCATGGTCACCTAGCAATACATCACTAAAGTTTTTCTTCCAACATAAATGAAACTTTGCCCTCTTTCATCAATAGCTGCCCTTTTTTCTTCCCTCAGCTCCTAGACACCACCTTCTGATGTCTCTATGAGATCAGTTTTTTGCAGATTCTATGTATACATGAGATCTTTCTATTTCTGGATTATTTCAGTGTAAGAATTAATAAATTCAGTAAAGTTGTATAAACTAGTAATACTTTTAAATATTATCAACAAACTATCTGAAAAGAAATTAAGAAAATAATCCTATGTACAATAGCGTAAATAAACCCTTTAAATACTTAGGGTAAATTTAAAATAATGTGATGAAATATAGAAATATTGAAAATTGTAAAACAATAATGAAAGAAACTGAAGACACAAATAAATGGAAAGATAGCCCATATACATAGGCTAGAAAATTTAATGTTAAAATATTCATAGTACCCAAAGTAATCTATAGCAATGTATTCCATATTTCAATTCTAAAGTCATTTTTCAAAGAAACAGAAAAACAATTTGTATGCAACTATGCAAATAGCCTAAACAGCCAACACGATCCTCAAAAAGAAGGGGCAGGAAGCAAAGGCATTACACTTGGATTTCCTAGTGTATTACAATGTTTTTGTAATCAAAGCAGAATGGTGCTGGCATAAAAACAGACACAGTGACCAATGAAACTTGAGGGTTTACAAACAGGTGATCTCAGTCAAGATACCCAGAGCATACATGAGTATCTCTTTTGTAAATGGTTTTAAGAAAAATAGATATTAGCATACAGGAAAATGAAAATGGACTCATATACCATACACAAATGGGCTCAAAATGGATAAAGACAAACATAAAATCAGAAACAGTAAGTTACAACGGGGAAACTCTGCAACATTAGCCCAGCGATGATTTAATGATAAGACTTCCAAACCACAGGCAACAAAACCAAAAACACATAAATAGGATTGTAGCAAACTAAAATGCTTCTGCATAGTAAAACAAACAACTCAGTGAAGAGAAAACCCCCAAATCAAGAAAAATGTTTGCAAACCACACATCCAACAAGGAGCTAATCTCCAAAATACACAGAATTCAAACACTGAATTTGAAAACAAATAATCTGATTTTAAAAAATAGGCAATGGATCTAATGGATTTCTAAAAGGAAGTATAAATGGACAACTATAAGGAAAAATGTTCAACATCTCTAATCAACAATAAAGTCCAAATGAAAACTACATTAGGATGTCTGTTAGCAAAAACACGGAGGATGATTAATATACACCATCAAAGTTGTGGTGAAAAAGAACATTGTGCATTGGGGGGGGATGTCAATCAGCGACCATTTTGAAGCAACATTTAAAATGGAAATGGTTTGTGAACAGAGCCTCTGACCAATCTGTTGAGACTTGACTACTCTGAAGAAAATGCAGTCAACCTTCCAGCAAGAGGATGTTCTATGTGGATAACCTATACAGAAGTTAACAATACTACTCACTTGTGAGCAATCAGCATCAACTAGCCTGTGCTTTATACAATGGATAGCTTAGCTCAACCCAAACCACCAGTGATCACGACTGTTTAGGTGAGAGACTCATTTTTAAGACTGCCTCTACACTATGGTCTAAATGTTTGTTACGATCTAAATCGGGGAACTGCTCCATGACACTGGTCTGGGAATGATTCCAACATTGATATTCTAACCCTCAGTATTAGTATCCTTATAAAAGAAACCCACTTGATGTCACTTGTTTACCTTTTTTATCACGTGAGGACACGGCAAAAAGATACTGTTTTAGTTACTTTTCTACTGCTGTAAGGAAACACTATGACCATGGAAACTCACAAGAAATTGTTCAATTGGATTTACAGTTCCAGAGGGATTGAGTCCATGGGGCCAAAGTGAAGGATGGTGGCAGGAAGAGCTGAGAGCTCACCTCTGGAACTGCAAGCAGGTGGCAGGGAGTGCAATGGGAATGTCACGTGGCTTTTGAAACCTCAAAGCCCATTCCCAGTGACATCTCTCCTCCAATGAGGCCACATCTCCTAATCCTTCCCAAGCAGGTCTACCAACTGGGGACCAAGTGCTCCAACATGAGTCTATGGGGGCCATTCTCATTCAAGCAGAACTGAACCTGACAAAATATCTATAGGCACTCTGATTTCTGATTTTGTAGTCTCCAGGATGGTGAGAAGTTAAGACTTGGTGGCTTTAATCCCACCAAGTCTTACAGTATTTTGTTACAGCAGCAGACTATGATGCACCTCTTCTCAAGGACCCTGGTTTATAAAGCCATTCTTTCTGGTAAGGGCAGAAACTACTTACTTCTTAGTGC